GCATACTTTGTCATATTCATATAATAACCTTACTGTTATACATCATTTTCCTGCTTGAAGTCATAAATGCCATTAAAAAAAATTTAGAAGACGTGTGCCTGTGCCATTTGTGTTCAACGATATGATTCTATAACTACATTGTTGTCTTAATATCTGATCTGAGCAACATAAAATATTTGAATGTGATGTAAACATGACACACAGTTTCCAAATAAAGACTTCAATAACACTTTCAAACACGTTTGTATGTGGTTTTACAAATTTTTTGCTTCAAAATCTTGCACAATATTTAAACCTGTAGAGATGCCACATTGTATAAACAGTACTGAGTTGATGCTTTACCTCTATTGGACATTTATTGTCATGAGTGACATCCATGAATAGTGCATGCGCCATCGATGGTACAAGTGGTCTTGCAGGCGGTGGCAAAAATGAACCAACAGGATCACCACCATAACGATAAACTAAACGTCCTTCCTCATGTGAATCCCATGCATTCATTGCCTCTGTAATTTATTTACAAAATAAATAAAATATTAATATCAATCTCTGCCGCATCAAAAAATTAAGCATGAACCCCTGTGTTGTGTTCATTGGTAGTCAATCTCTGTGTTCAGTTGAAGTCACATGTCCCCCAAAGGGCTCCATGCATATTGTCTAAAATCTTAAAATTACAGTCTGTAAATGTGTTATATCAATTGCACATGAGCTGCAGTATAAGCCAAAAAAGTTCAGACTACCTAGACCCTCAGAAAGTGGTCAAATAGCCACTTCCGGTTTAATTTCAATCCAATATGGCTGCTAAACCAATGGACCAAACAAAATTTTGAGAAGACAGGTGCACTAGTTTACATTAGGAGCTAATGTTAACTCGTGCACCTGTCTTTCCAAATTTTGTTAAAGTTTGAGAAGACAATGGACTAACAATAGAAGCCTATAAGCTTCACTTGATTTTGATTTAAGTTGACAGTAGAGCTAAAAGAAAAGATAGAACGTGTAAATTATAGACAAGATGAAAAGATGAAAAGTTGACTCACCTCTTATAAGTGAATTGATACCTAGTCTGTTTACAAAGATGTTGTCAATATGTTCAGATTGTGTAAATAACTCAGCAACCACATACAAATCTGGATTGATCTGACGAGCTGCATCTAACATGTACTGGAAGATATTATGTAGAATGGTGCTAAGTAAATAATATTTTTATCAGTTACATTTTTATATCTTGTGTATTGAAAAAGAAGTAGATAAACAACTTACACAAAAATCTTATAATTTGATTTTGAACCTGGATTTTCTTTTTTATAGCTAAATGTTGAAATGCTGAGAGGAATATTGCATTACTTCATCAAAATTGACCATAATCAAATAACACATTATTAAGCATGAATATATTCTAAATATACTTGTATTTGTCGAATTTCATACAATGTTTTGACACTACTAGGACCTTTGTCCTGTTTTACGGTTCTATTTCATGCATATCACGGGATCTAGCAGTGAACAGAAAATGATATATTTGGTCAAGAGGAAAGAAATTTAGAATGCATGGATACCCACCTCAGCTACATGTATTGGTGTACTGTGACAATTATCAATTCTAACACCATGAAACAATGAGGCAGTCTGCTGACTATAATTAAGCATATGCTGCCACAGATAGGGACAGTCCTCAGGTTTGTCACCATAGCGTAACTTTATGCTATCTCCCCAAACAATCAGTTCTCTCCTTATATAGACTTTAGAGCCAGGTTCAGCAAAGTTCTTGAGAGGATCATCTCCCATTACCCAACCATTGTGAGCTTGTAAATATACTGCTTTGTCACTCTCCATCAAAGCCTCTTCTTCAATAATGCTTGTGTCTTCACCATAATGTAGAAAATACCTTTAATAAAGAAATTTACATGCAATTATTTAAAGAAAATAAAACATTTTGTAAAATCTGACATGCAATGCCATATTTGCTCAATGCTCATACACTATATATGTACATGTAAATAAAACAGATGTGTCTATACTTGAACTAAGTCATATTTTCATGTAACTGTGGGTCCATAACTCTTCTTGAGTCAGTCTTTTGTCTTTGTGATGGTATTTTAGTCATTTCTGATACATTTGATGTACCTTATATTATATTATATTAGGATTTATCATCATAGACTAGCTATGGTTTCTCCCATAGACTTGTGTAATACAAAAGTGCAACACAAAACAGTATCACAAATAAAAATCAACAAAAGTAGAAGAATTTCTCGCATAACGTCATTGACAGTATTGCCAATCAATAATGAGTTTATTAAACTATGTTCTTTTCCCCTCAAGATTTAGTGTACATATATCTCTGATGGTAGCCATTTTTTTTTTCAGGTAGAACAAGGACATTTAGCCAAGTAATTCTGTCATCATTTGACCTCGAGAAAATGGCTGTAACTAGAGTTACGTATGGTTTAGCAAATCCCTCAAACAAGAACAAAAAAACAATTTCAAACAGATCATTTTTGACGCATTGTTTTCGTTGGTGAGTGTTTAAAGATGTTATTGATTGGTGATAGTTTTGATTGCGCAATATGAGGAAATAGTGTACTTTTATCAACTTTTATTTGTGGGGTCATTTGGTGATGCATGTTTGTATTACGCAAGTTTAAGGGACCATAGCTTTTCGATGAAATGTCAATATACAAAAACAACAACTTTAAGAACACCAAATGTATAAGGAATGATAAAAATACCATTACAAAGACAAAACACTTACAAATGAAGAGATATGGATCCATAGCTAATATTCATTGTCCAGTCGAACATAAATTTTTGGGTTTATATAGACTTCTATTTGGAGATGCACAATGAGGCAGTCATAGAGCAAAGAACTCGCTGATTTGCAAAAAAATCTAATTAATTATTTCTGTTGAATTAGCATAACATACATTTGATAGATATATACAAGAGTTTTAAAATCATCACGTTGAATGATGCAACAAACATGTTATTATGTAGGGCATCAACCATTTTACATGTATAACACAATGAACTGATTCTATGGCATATATATTAGTACATGTACTTACTGTGGAACTAAGGAACAAGTCTTGGAGACGGCTCCATACTTGGAACTACTAGTACATGTACTTACTGTGGAACTAAGGAACAAGTCTTGGAGACGGCTCCATACATGGAACTACTAGTACATGTACTTACTGTGGAACTAAGGGACAAGTCTTGGAGACGGCTCCATACATGGAACTACTAGTACATGTACTTACTGTGGAACTAAGGGACAAGTCTTGGAGACGGCTCCATACATGGAACTACTAGTACATGTACTTACTGTGGAACTAAGGGACAAGTCTTGGAAACGGCTCCATACTTGGAACTACTAGTACATGTACTTACTGTGGAACTAAGGAACAAGTCTTGGAGACGGCTCCATACTTGGAACTACTAGTACATGTACTTACTGTGGAACTAAGGGACAAGTCTTGGAGACGGCTCTATACATGGAACTACTAGTACATGTACTTA